TTTCTTGGGTCTTTTACCCTCAAAAGGTCTATTTGTCAAAAACATTCTGCTACTCTGAGAGTAAAAGAGTCCCGGGGGGGGAAACATTCAGGGGGTTTATCTGCAACTATAAAACTACTAGAGGTCTATCTGCAATTAACTATATATTGTTTCAAAGGATGCTAACCTATCGTTCAATTTGATCCATCTGAAGGTAGGAGACGGAGGTGAAGGTGGTGGAATATCTCTTGCTGGTACTTCGTGGGACAAGAAGGCATTAAGTCTGGCAGAAAAAGTTTCAATGTCATTTGATGGTGACTTGAAAATATATGCTTTCAAGACCACTGTAAATTCTACCATCCGGGTACGAATTGAAAAGCTCTCGAGTAAGTAAGTATCCCCATATGATATTATCTTCTCTCAAGAGTAACTCTAGCAATATTCCATGCCTGATTTGCTGAAATTTATGTCGCCAGCCCCAAAAATCTGGGATACATGCTTTGTTAGTTGCTGTTGTTTTCGTCGTCTATAAAATGTAATGCAGTGGTGTCACTAATCACTTTGAATACTTAATAGAACAAAGGGTAAAAATATGATGGTTGCATTTGAATGGTTTCATCTTCTTTTTTGACAAATAAAAGTGCTTATACAGGCATTACTGAGTATGTCCACACTTTGACCACTAAATTTATAAGGTGTTCTTTTTTTTTCTTTTCATTTTGTTCTCTTATTTTCTTTTTTGAAGAGATGAAGTCAATAAACTCTGATAGCATTGGATGCAGATGTCTTCTTTATTGAAAAGTAAAAGAGGGATATATGAAACTAGTTGTCACTTGTCAAAATAAAAGGAGAAATGATGCCTCTTTAATTCCTATTAACACTGTACATTACTTGTGCCTTAGCAAATTGGTATAGTATAATATTTTGACTCCCTTTAGTTATTGCCACTAAATCGTATTATATTGTAGATTTATATAAGCAAATTCTTTATAGGTATGGCTCTCCCAGTATGACCGATATCGAGGCTTTCTCTTCTGCCTATCAAGAGCTCTTAGATGAAGCTGGGCTTGCTGGCACTATTCCAGAAAATTTATCGTTGGAGGTAAGTTTAACTATTTCTTTTTTTATTTTTACAGCTACATTATATTCGGATACTAATGACTTTCACTATACAACTTATTGATTTTCACTCCTTAAAAAAGTCACACGCTGAGAAGTCTACGTCATAATCAAGTTTGATTTGTTTTAGAGCTCTATCATAGTTGCCCTGATACATTTCCTTGTACATCCACTATTTTATTGTCTGTGGATTGTGAAAATGAGCCACTGAGGAAGTGCTCAAGAGTTTTTCCCGTCTTGTTACTTTATATGGTTAAACAATTCTCATTGATTTTCTAACAATATGATATTGTCCTCAACATTAGGGAGGACATAATACTGGTTAACCTAGGGAGTATTTGGTTCACTGCATTGCATGCAACTGCAGTTGCATCTGTATTTGCATCTGTAGTTGCAGATATTTGTTTTGAGGTAATCATGTTTTGTGGAATTCTGTAAGGGATTCATAGTGACCAGAGTTGCAATTTAAACCTCATTCACAATTCAAAAAAGTTACAACCGCTACTTATGCCCAAATCGTCGTTGCTTGCAACATTTGACTCTTTTGCAACTGCAGTTACAACTATATTTATTAGTCGCAATGAAAACAAACAGTTGCAACTGGCCCAAAATGTTCCAGTTGCATGCAATTGCGCTTACAATTCTCGCAGTTGCCATGAACTAAACAACCCAGAACTGAATCGAAGAGTATGATTCATGTAGCCAGACACAATAAATTTGAGATAAAGGTTTTGTTATTTTTCTCATTAGCAACCTCTCTTTTGTACCTTAAAGGTATCTTCTCCCGGGGTTGAAAGGGTCGTTAGAATCCCTGAAGAGCTTGAAAGATTCAAAGAGAAGCCCATGAAAGTGAGATACACCATCAACAACGCTGCATCTGATTCCCCTCAAGAAAGTGAAGGAATATATAAGCTTATTTCTTTCGATTTGGATTCTCAAAATTGCACTTGGGGTATAGCAGATGTGAAGGCGAACAGAAAACAAGCAGGAAAGGGGAGACCACTCACCAAGAAACAGAGGGAATGGCGGTTGCAGACGCCATTTGATTCATTGATTTTGGTCAGAATACACTCTGATTGTTGAATGTGTGTTTTTCGATTTTTGAAATATATGAAATAAGTAGTTATGGTGGGTAGATGATAGTGTAGTTTTACATTTTTTTTTGCACAAAAATATGAGTCGTGATGACTAGAAATTTAGTAGTTTCTGCTAATGATGCGAAAACTGAAGTATATGGTTTGATTGTGTGCTTACTTAATATTAGGCTAAACTTCAATAGAGATCCCGACGTATTGATTAAATATTATTTGGGTTCTTAATGTTTGAAAGCCATGCCCCTAATATTATCTCTGTCATTAACCTGGGTCTTTTTTTTTGTACAAAATTCTGTGGAATCTTGCTTGCATTTGGTATAATCGTGGCTCTGCCATGTGTCACTGCCACGCCATCAAAAAAATTAGTGAAATTCTAAGTTCAATATGAACTTGTAATTTTACTATTTTTTTGTTAATGTGGTAGGATAAAGTTGGATTTTTTTAGTAATTTTTTTGCTAACATGAGAGTGCCCTGTCAACGCCATGTCAGTAAGAGGCGTTTTGGGGAGAAAGCTGCCATAATGGCAGGTTTCCACCCCCCCCCCCCGCTGCCATAATGGCAGCTTTCCACCCCCTCCCTGAGGCAAAAAACCCAAAACAAACAGCCTCTTAATGGAAGTTTGTAAAAAAGATCTAGGATGATTACATAGATAACGTTTGGGATTCCTAATGATGATTTCTAAACATTAATGACCCAAATAATATCTGGCAAATACTTTTAGGGGTCTCTAGTGAACTTTTCCCTTAATATTATGAAGGTATGTTCTTATTTATTATTACTAGTATAACGCTCGTGTGATGCATGTGGACATACTCGTTTTATGTTCCAAATTCTTTTATGTAATTTGTTATATAATTCATTGAAAGTTTTCTTTTGGATCTAATTATATAAAACCTTGAGGACTCATTTGTAATTTTTCATCAATGAAAACTTAGCTAAATATTATTTTTTATGAGGTTCACTTCTAAAGTTAATAGCAGTTGATCTCCAATTTTATAGAGCTCCAGGGTTCTTTCTAAATTTATAAAATTTATGGATTCTTTCTAAAAAGTTTATGAAAGAACAATTTTTCACTGTAGACCCAAACCGAGTTTTTATTATCAAAATCGACCGATTTTTTTTTAATTACCAAAATCGATCAGTTTTATGCCACGTAAGCATAATCTCATTTCCTAATTAGTCGGGGTTGTCAACCCCGACTGTTTAGGAGTTGTTAAACCCCAATTAAATCAGGTTTAAGGCTTCTAATTGGGGTTTAACAACTCCTAAACAGTCGGGGTTGACAACCCCGACTAATTAGGAAATGAGATTACGCTTACGTGGCATAAAACGGGTCGATTTTGGTAATTAAAAAAAATCGGTCGATTTTGGTAATAAAAAATCGGTTTGGGTCTACAGTGAAAAATTGTTCTTTATGAAATTGGCTCAATTAATTTTAAACAATTTATGAAGCTGAAGGGTTGGATGATTTAACCTGAGATTAGTAAGTATATTAAGAGGATTTGTAGCGAGGTTATGATGGTAATTAAATAACAAAAGTTTGATGTAGCTATATGCTATTTACACAACTACAAAAGAACAATATCAAAAATACATGTTTATATGTGAATGAATTGGAGTGGGCTGAAGGTTAGAACCATACTCTGATAAGACACTTTCATTGCCTCTTTACATAACTATCTCGAACAATAATAATAACTGAAAATGAAAAAAATATATATTCAGCAAGAATTTATATGCAATTTAACATTTGCTGCATCAGATAAAAAATTAAATAATATTTAAATCCCACTTCCTCTCCGTGACCAAGCTCACTATATCTCTATGTAAATGTTACTGCGTATGTTTGGTTCAATTTCTATAAAAAAGAGGAAAAAGAAAAGTACTCAAAATTTGATTTCCTTGTATTTCTATAAAATTTGTAGGAAAAGTTTATAGAACTCAAAAGAGTACCATATTTCTTGTTTTCTGCTATTTCTTTGTTTGGTTCAAAGTATGAAAAAGTTTCTACCTTTATAGAAAATATGTTGTTTTCTTTTTCTTTTATTTGGTTGGATGTCACTTTTATAGAAAATAGCTTACTAACAACGTCCATGGGAAATCACATGGGAAGGGTACTGATGTACTTAATTATTTTTTTAATATATGCGTCAGATTTGTGGGTGATTTTCGCCTATTTTGAACGGAAATTGATTTTTATAAAATGTGGTACTTTTTTGTACTTTATAGAAAAAAATTCTGTAATTTTTTTTTGAACCAAACACAGTTTGTAGAAATCTTCTGAAAAGTTTTATTTACAAAACTACCACTATCAGCCATTTTCTATAAAGTTTTCTATAAAATCACTCAACGAAACAACCCCTAAACTAAACTGAAAGAGGGAAATGTCCCTACTTGAAGTGCTGGTCTTTATCAATAGTTAAAATATTCTTAACTATATTGTTAGTAAAGCTACCACAAACTCTGAAATTAGCCAAAAAAAAAAATACAAAGAAAAGAAAAGGAAAGGAGACTCCAAAAACTTAATTAGATTTTGGTGGTACAATAAGAATTGAATCAGTGCATTTATCTCCAGACTTGTTTGCACTAATTCAAGAATAGAAAATCCTTGAAATACCAACTGTCATATGATTAAGAATCAATAAATAGTTTTTCATTTAGTGGATCAAGTAGGTAATTAAATTTCAAAGTGTTGACTGGCCGAGCCTAACCTAAAAACCATTTGTTTACACGCTAACAAGTCAGCGAAGGGATCCAATTTTCTTCATAGAGTTAATGCATGAGATATGTATAGAGAAAAAAAAAAATTGAGTGGGAAATCAAGAGCAGATCTTTTCTCCAATATATTTTGGCTCTTCTGTGTGGACTTTTATGAGCCAATGACTACTTTAATACTCCAAGAATTTGGCCTTGAATTTCGGGCTTTTAAGGAATATTTTTTTTCTAAAATACAGTTCTCATATTGACTGTTTAATTGTTCACGCCTGGTTTTATTTATTTATTTATTTTACTTAAAAATGAAAAAAAAAATCTAGCAAATTTCTTCAAGAAGAAAAGTACTGAATCTCTCTGTGTTAGCTCTCTTGATGAACTAATTTATGAATTTTTCGCTCATGCCATTGTCAATTTCCTTCAACTTCCATGTTTAGCATACGGAAAGTGAGAAAAAGTGAAAGCAACTTCTCAAGAATATACTTTCTTATTATTTTCTATTTTTTAGAATCTTGTTTGGATGATAGAAAATTAAAAAAAGAGAGAAAATTGGGGTGACAAATAATGTGACATTTACTTTTTTTTTCCTTTTTGGTTATCACGGAAAGTAACAGCAGAAAGTGAATAAGTAAGACTAAAATAATATGTGAAAAATCTAAAAATATATTTTCTCTCTTCTCTCTCTTTACTTTCCATCCACTTCCTTCAATTTTTGAAGAAACTAAACAAGGCTAAAATGTTGATGTGACGCCCTTCACTTCTTATTCACTTTCCAATGTCAAACAAGAAAAAGGAAAATGATAGGGGCACATCCCAAACCACACCCCCTCTCTCATATGCTACAGTGCACCGGGCCTCACATGGGATTTTAAAATTTTAAAATCTCATGTGGGGTCCGGTGTACTGTAGCATATATATGAGAGAGGGAGTGTGGTTTGGGATATGGTTGGGGGGTGTGCCCCTAGTGCCACCCTAAAAATTGGAAAGTGAAGCCACTTTTCAATTTTGGGTCCACATTCTATTTACTTTCTGGTTGCCAAGCACACCCTAAAATGCCTTTAATGAGTTAAATAAGAATGAAGTCACTGATACAAAAGTGTTCTGTTCAAACAACACAGTTATCGCACGTTTGCTTGCAAATGCAAATGACATAAAGTCCCATAAAGACTATCAAAAATTTAAAACCTAGGAACAACATACAATATATATTAAAAAGTTGGAAATGTACTTCAAATCCCTACCTTCAGCACCTAGACTTAGACTCAGATATACATGCACCATGCTGTAGCTTTATTCAACTCGTGCATGTCCATGAAAAAAATGGTCCCAAAAAAAAGCCAAAAAGGAATATAGAAATAGACACGCGTGCACTACGAGATAGAGAAGAGATGCACCCATGCCCAAGGACTATTCTTGGTGGGATAAGCTATTATAAGAAGAGTGGGCCCGGCGATCTAAACATATAAGGGATATAAATCTTATCAGAACATTCTGTATACAAGCAATATAGCTATAAAGAAAACAGTTGGAGGTAAGTGAATAGTGAGGTGGCCCCTTGGTTAACTTCTGAATTTACTTAATTCTTTTTTCTTGTAGAAGCAAAGACATGGTCTAACCGTTTTTTTTGCAGGCTGGAGTCCAAATTGTAGATCCTGTGGTCGATGTGTTCAATGGACAAGAGGTGGAAGTGTGGCCTCTCATTTCATCCATACACAGCCAACTTCTAAATTCTTTTCTCTTTTGTGATTTTAGATGCCTTTGAAAGCGACAGAGAGGGATGTTTATGAATTCTTCTCGAAAGCAGGGAAGGTTAGTGGAATGAGTTACTTGGTCCTCTTATCACACAATAATATGAGGTTGATGATTGTTTTTAATTTGTTAGGTTTAGCTTCTTGTATTGACATTACACATCCATCTGAGAAGAGTGTTCTGATATTTACATGTATCATGCAACCACAGGTATCGGAGCTTACATAGTAGTACAAGTATACTTATCTCCCCTGCCCAGTTTATTATTTAAAATATTTCGTAACTTGTTATCTTATTAGGATTAAAGCTTTTGGTAGGCAATTCTCTATTTCAATATCTTCAGTACATACATTGAGATACACTTGCTTCTTATTGCAGTAAATGCTTCTGTGCCTTCAATGAGGCCTATTATAATGACTTTTTTGTGGCTCAACATTCTTTTATTTGGTGAGTGTGAAAAGAATTGGAAGTTTGATTGCTCACCATATTGGGTGCAGTCCTTAGGGTGGTGTTATGTGTAGTAAGCATGGCAATGCATTTTTAAGCTGCAAACTGTATAAGTATTACTTCATTAATGATGTTAGATTTACAAGCAATTAATTTATGGCTTCCAGGTTAGAGACGTGCGGCTGATCATGGATCGGAACTCGAGACGATCGATCAAAAGGAGTTGGGTATGTTCTCTTGTTCTTTAACTTGTTTGTTGATGCATTATAGCAAGGTTCTTAGACATGCTTCCATGAGGATGATCCTTCTAAAGTTATTTTGCTCGATTATTCAAAAATTCAGATAAGGAAAGAACATCACGTGATGGAGGTTTCAGGAAATAGTGATAATAAACAACTTGAATTTTCATGAATGTTGTAAGGCATAAAAGGTGATGTTTTGGAAAAATACAATACTTTGCACCACATATTTTGGGATCCTTTTTTTTGATAGATTTTGAGCTTGAGGTAATCTACATTCAGAAGCAGATGCAGGTAGTTTGATTTAATTCATGACAGAAGAACAAAATTGATAGTCTAGTTTATCCGTTGTTATCTACTATACTATCTAGATACAAATGTCAAAACTTTTAAGCATGTCCTACTCATGCATCATCTGGTTGCAAGCTGAGAAGCCTTTTTATTTGTTTTGGAACATGGCAGAACTAGTTAAAAAAAGTTTACATGCTATTCATAGTTGTTAAGCACTCCCAACGATGTGTATTTTTTCTAAGCAGCCCAAAAGTGAAATCAACATAATGTGATATTCTTTTGAGCTCTCTTCTTCATTTATCACAAACGTTTCCTCAGCAATAGATGTTAACCTGTCCAATGAATTAGATCTATTAAAGGTTGTCCAGTGAATTAAAAAAATCCCTTTGCAATTACTTTCGCATCAAGCTCTGTACAAGGCTAGAGCCTAGTTCAAATTTAATGAGTCCTCTTGTAGGCTGTCTAAAAATCACTGCAGATAGCTGATCCCCATCAAACACCGATGACGAAAGTTACAATCTGACGACTTCCAGAAGGCTACAATTTGAAGACTTTCACGTAGAAGGTTACAATCTGACGACCTTCACAACAACTAATGAAAGCTCTAATTCAACAGCCTTCACAATCAACATCGGGAGTTACAATCTAACGACTCTCACATATCAAAGAGCTGCAGCAAAGATTACAAAACGACAATCTTTGCAACGCTCTGACAGAAAGAGACTATAAATCGACGGTCTATTCAAACCAAGACGTGGAAGTCCTCCCCGCGTACCAGCATCAAGACGCACCGCGTTCATAGCCACGAACGCAGCTCAAGCACAGCCTCCGAAGCTGCCAACGCAGCTTCTATCCGCTGCCAATCTAATCGCCGCCAGACGCAGCTCCAATCCGCTGCCAAACGCAGCTCAAAACTGCTGCCAAACGCAGCTCTAATCGCCGCCAGACGCAGCTTCAATCTGCTGCCAAACGCAGCTCAAAACTGCTGCCAAACATAGCTCTAATCGCTGCCAGACGCACCTTCAAACATCGAAGAACGCAGCTCTACATCACTGCAGAACGCAGCTTTACAACGCTGCAAACGCAGCTTCATATCGCTGCAGGACGCGCCTCCAGACGCTGCGTTCAAACGCAGATTTCATTCCAGAATGCAAGATTTGCGTTTGACTCGTTCAAACACGAGCTGAACGGTTTCAAAACCGTTTCCCACGATCTGAGGGGATCACAACTCCACTCAGGAGTGATTTATGGGGCGGTTACATCCCATTAGCCCCACTTAGGAGCGAATTAAGGAGGTGGTTACACCCCTTAATCCCCTATAAATAACAAAAAATCAATTCAGTTAAGGGCGGTCGGTTGGAACTTCTTGGCTCGTCAACAGGATCCTTAGAGCATTTCTGGAGCTTTGGAGATCGGCAACAAGATCTTCTTCATCCTTGGCTTATAACCGACTTTCGGTTAAATCAACTCTTTCATAGAGTTTTAAACTCGTTCAGAGTTCTCCACAACGTCAAATCGTGAGGAGAAGACCATGTTCCAGTGAATCAAGATATTCGGATCGTCAACGGAGAGCAAACTCGACGCGAGCATTCGAGGGAGGCATCTCATCGCCACCGTGAAGAACCCAGAATTAAACAAAGGGGAGAATCCAGATCATTCTCTTCTCTTTTGTAACCAGGAATTCAAATTATAATCGAGAGTTGAGAGAATTGTAATCATTCTTTTTCTAAGCAGTTAGAGAGAATAAAAGCAAATACACAAACACCTCTATGGAGAATTCATGACTTTATTCCTATGGGAATCAGGCTTTTGTTCAGAGAATAATGATCATGATTATAATAAGTAATGTCAACAACAATAGGAGAGAGAAGTATTACTAAGTACTTTAGTGAATTATGTTTGCCTGCAAAAATGAATGCATGTAATATTATGGGAACCTTAATTAATGCTCGAGAAGTTATGAGAACCTTTGAGCATAGTTAATGTCAAGTTCATTTCACACTTACTATTTAACCACATGAAATTGCTTCTATAGATCTCCATTCTTCAACGATATCTTAGATAGCTTATCCTTTCTCCATTACCATAGTTTTTACTCATATGGCATGTTATTCCTATCTATCTTGCATAATAAGGGTCATGCTTTCCGTTTTCTTTTGTGTTTCACCATTAAAGATGTCGATTTTAAATATAGAAGATTAAGCAGGAGACTGTCATTTGTTGTATCTGTAGAGGAAAGAAGCATAATTATTTTCTCGGCTGAACTTTTTTTTTTGTTTGAAGGATATGAAATATGAGCAGAAGCAACAACAACATCAACAACAAATGGTGTCTGACTTAGAGTCACAAGTGAAAGCTATGCATGAACTTTTTTTAGGTAGCCATCTTCATTGACTCCTCAAACTCGAGAACATGTGCAGGACCAGGTAATTATTTTTTTATAAAATCTCTTATATATTTTTATGATTGACTATTTGCACTTGAGAAAATGAGATTTTTACTTAGTAAGATAATAATTGCTTAATTGATATTTCTTAATTATGTGATTTTTTAATTTTTCAGGCTATCCATGCAAGATTAGGAGAGAGGGTAGCTCGAGTCTTCTTTTGACGATGATTAGAGATGAAACGATGTGTCTTTCCTAGACTTCTATTTTAATTTGTTTTAGATAGTTTCACGTATTTTCCTTTAGAACAATTGGGATATTAACACTTGTTATTAGTGTTGAATATTTGAGGATGGTGGGATTTTATTTATTGATGTTATTAATGAATGGAGTTTTTGATTTCTCTTTTATTCATTATTGGATATTTTTAATATATTTGTGTTATGAATCTTAGTTTCATGTTGAGAATAATATGATAGTTGCCTATGAATGGAAAAATTTTCATTAATGTAAATTAGAAATTTGTAGTCTATAATGACGGTTTTATAAACCACGTTTTATTCATCAACGAAGGGAAAGCACCATCGTTGATAGGTTACTAATTAACCACCATGATGATTTTTACGACGGTATCTAACCGTCATTAATTAGCCTTCAACGACGGGGTTGTCACCCGTTGTTATACAATAATAACGGGCGTACAAAACCATCATTACACAATAACAACGGGAATGAAAACCCATCATTTAAAGTAACGACGGGAAAATATCCCCGTAACTAATGGTAACGACGGGAAAATATTCCCGTCGCTGATGGTAACGACGGGAAAATAACCCCGTCACTAATGGTAACGACGTCGTAAATATTAACGACGGTAATATATTCCGTCGTTATAGACTCTATAACGACGGGTAGTATATCCCTTCGTGACCCTTTAGCGAAGAGGGCTTCAACGACGGGTGGCGAAGGGATTTTTTCCTGTCGTTAGCATACAATAACGACGGTTTTCAGCTCTTTAACGAAGGGAAATCCTTTCGTTAAAGGCGTAATTTCTTGTAGTGTTCGAACTCTCCCCTACTCTCCCCGTGAACAACTCAGAACTCCTTTATTTTGTAAGAAGCGTTCTAATAAAACGTCATACTCTCCAAAACTTTTATTTAATTCCTACCCAAAAATTATTGTTGGAATGCTTACCTCATCAATTTTTAGGGGCTGTTTGGTTCATTTTGTAAAACAAAAGGAATAATAATAGGATACTAAAATGATTTTTTCATACCTTTCTCATATATTTTTTAATAGAAATCAAAAGTTGATGGAATGCTCTATTATTTATATTTCTGTGTTTGGGTCACTTATAGAAAAAGAGAAATGAAGATAAGAATGGATGATGTGTATTAGTGGGGGTGTCAGAATTCTAACTCAATTCTATAAAATAAAAGTGAACCAAACTTGTGGGCAGTTTGGCAAGTCACTAAAATTGGGTCAGGTTTAAACCTAGCCCGATTTTATCTTGTTTTTAGTTTGGCAACTGATGGGAGTTGGCCTAGCTTTTTTTAGTTCACTTTTTAGCCTCAAAATCAGGCTAGAGTTGAACCACCACCTACCTAGTCCAACTCTAGTCTGATTAAGAGAGTACACCCCTCGGGCCTTGTTGTTTTGTTGGGGTTGTCAAACTGACCCTTAAGAATATGAATATGTTGGAACAACTTCTGGAAAATTCTGACACTATTCATTCTATTTCTTTCCCATTCTATAAAACTAGTATTAAGCTTGTGCGTTGCTGCAGATATTATTTATCAAGGTATATATGTCGTCGTATGATTCTTATACATAACTATTTATAAAAACTTCACCGATAATTTTTTACAACTATTTACAGAGTGAATATCCAAATCAATTAACAAAATAACACACCAATTAGTAAGTTTTTCAATTTTCTATAATAGAGTTAGAAAAGATTTGTATTTGTGAAATGTTTGAATGTTTGATAAAGTTTAAATTCATCAAAAAAGGAGTTATGAACAATATTTTCAATGCTAAAAATGTTACCTCAGCTTGGACAGTGGATAAATAGCAAAAAAAATTATTGTAGCATAAGGAGTGTGATTGAAATTTAAAAAAAAATACAATGTAGCGTAAAAAGTAAGGCTAAGGATGAGCTTAACACATCATAATCATAATCATGATGAGCTTAACACACCCTGGATCACACATAGAGCCACTCAAGTGTGATGGTTCTCACATTTACATACAACAAGGAAAAAGCCTTGAAAATGTATGCCACGTGGCAGCAGCTGATTCGCCATTGCTCCCTCCAAAATTCCTAACGACTCTTTCTTCGCTCTTAGACTATAACAATAGTCATGTAGCGTAAAAAGTAATTGTAATATTATGAATTACACTATAACAATAATAGTATTTATTGTATTTAAGATCACCACATCATAATCATGATGAGCTTAACACACCCTGGATCACACATAGAGCCACTCAAGTGTGATGGTTCTCACATTTACCTACAACAAGGAAAAAGCCTTAAAAATGTATGCCACGTGGCAGCAGCTGATTCGCCATTGCTCCCTCCAAAATTCCTAACGACTCTTTCTTTGCTCTTAGACTATCTCCATCAGGAGTCGAAATTTTAACCTTCTCTCTCCTACCACATCACTTTATTCCCCCTCCACATAATTCAACAATCTCCATTTTCTATCATCTCTACAGCAGGAGTTTTTTCAAAAGATTTTTACTTTATTTAGGACCCACTATAACCCCATCACTCCAACATATATACCCCACCTTATTTATTCATTTCTTTTTCTTATTTCATATATATTACTACTACTACTATTATTATTACTAATATAACTCATTTATTTATAATTATAATTTTTTAATATTTACATAAATAATATATATTATTAATTTAATTTTTGATAATATTTTTATATTAACAAAAAAACACACGATTTTATTAAGCATACGGAAAAGTCAAACACACACAAATTATTGAAATCATTAAAGAAAACACACATTAAATTGGTAAATCTAATCAGAGGTTGTTCCAAATTTCTGCCAAATGTGCTCGATGAGATCCTTTTTCAACTGAATATGTTGGCTCCTATCTCGTAGTTCGGCTCTAGTATGATTATCCGATCCGGATCGGTCTCGAACATGGACTTGAAACTCAGGCAATACGTCTGTTTGAACACTGGAAGAGGCGGAAGAGCTAGGATTGTTTGACGGTTCAAAGTCGATATTTTCCCAGTTTCGCGAATACGAATCTCGTTCATCTTCCACTATCATGTTATGTAAAATAATGCACGCCCTCATTATTTCATCTTCCACTATCATGTTTGAAGAATATAGAAGCAAAAGCAAAGAGAAGGAGAATAAGGTGTTGAAAACTCAGATTTTTTTTTGTCTCCAAATTACACAAGACTAATCTCTATTTATAGAGGTGAAAAAATAAAAATTATTGATATAAAAATTATAAATTAATTCCTAGTATTTATCTCCCAAAATATCATTTAAAAGTTAGGAGTAAAACAAAAAAACCCAACCAATCAAGCCTTGACACATGGCTCTCTTTAATTGTTGATTTAATGTTGCGGGACCCACTCGGAGAAGTCAAGCAAACTAAGGATGGGATCTTCATTTCACAAAGCAAGTATGCGAAGGAATTGGTGAAGAAATTTAAGTTGGAGAATTCTAAGCATGCGCCTACTCCCATGAGTACTAGTGTTAAGCTTGATGCGGATGAGAGTGGTGAAGATGTGGACCAAAAACTATACCGAGGTATGATAGGTAGTCTTCTTTATCTCACCGCTAGTAGACCCGACATCATGTTTAGTGTGTGTGCATGTGCACGTTTTCAAGCATCTCCAAAAGCATCTCACTTAATTGCGGTTAAAAGGATCATTAAGTATGTTAATGGAACTTTTAACCTTGGCTTATTTTATCCAAGAAGCACCTCTTTTGATTTATATGGTTTTTGTGATGCCGACTTTACCGGATGTAAGGTAGATCGCAAGAGTACTAGTGGAATGTTCGGTAAAAGAGAGAAGTTGTAATTTTGATTTCTTTGTTTTATTTTGATTTTCATTGTAAGCCGGATCTTATAAAAAGACCGGATCTCTTTGTAACGCATAAAGTTGTTAACTGAGTGCAATGACATCGATAATGAAGAAAACACCAACTTTCCCCGCGAACAAAAGTTCCTCGCAAACTTCTTCGATGACGACACCGAAGTTTCTATTGGGTCGTTGCTCGATGAGAAGCAGAAAGACGGGGAGTTGGTCGACACCTTCGTCAACGATCATGTAGAGCGACAAGATGTATCCCTAGTGTTTGTTGACACAAAATCTCAACTAGCGGATATATTTACTAAGCCTCTTGGAGAGGATGATTTTTGTCGCATAAGAAATGGTTTGGGCTTATGCACTATGTGAAAGTTCTACATTGCTTGCTTGTTTAGTGGCATCTTGCATCTTGCATTTCTTTCCCCATTTTTGATGGTGACAAAGGGGTAGAGAAATCTCCTCATTTGTTGCATATATTTAGGGGGAGCTCATAGATAGGGAGAGCACCTATCTATAAGCTATTTTATTTTTGCTCTTATATAATGGTTGGTTGTCATCATCAAAATGGGGGAGATTGTTAGCCCTTATGTTTTGATGATGTTCTTACAACCACCATTATCGGTACTAATGGCTTATTGAGTATAAATGTAGTAAATTCATTTGTCAAGCTCGTTAGTGCCATTAACGGAGGATGGATGGGCCAAGAGATGAAGCAACGATATTTTAAGAACGTCAAATTCGAATACAAGCTTCATCCGATTCAAGCTATATCAAAGCTCAAGTATTGTTCTTTATATTTGAGGATATTAGCTTTCTTTTTTTTCCCTCTCTAGTGCTAGAATGTAGGCAAAGAGTTACTGATTTTACTTGAAGCTATTGGGAATCACACACACGATTTCATACTTAGGTTTTTAAGCGTTTTTCACAAAATACTATTTTTCACAAGTATGAGGACCTATCTGCAAAATTCTTTTTCCAAACAGTTTGTTTTTAGTATTAAAAACATTTTACAAAGTTTCAGATTTTTCAGAGGTCAAATAAATATTTTGCAAATATTTAAAGTTGGTCAAAAACTGTTTTTCTGCAAAATGTCAGAGAAAGCGGTCGACCAGTCCGGTCGACCGCTCCCATCGCCTTTCCTTACTATTTTCCAGAGAGGTCGTCGGTCAACCGGTACGGTCGACCGAAATCTCGATTTTCTAATCGGTCGACCGTGCCGGTCGACCGACGGTGGTTCTGTTTGTTTTCCAAGTTTTCGAAGCAGCTCGCGGTCGACCGAATTTTTCGGTCGGTCGACCGAAGGTATTTTCGGTCGACCGATTAT